TACCCCTGATGAGGATAAATACCATCTATTAAAAATACTAAATAAGTACTTCAAAAATTTGCGTTGAATAGATTCTAACATAGTAACATAAAAATTATATATTGGGGACCAGATTAAGACATCATATTCTAATCTACTTCTAACAATAAAGAGCATTTAACGCCAATGTAGAACGAACATTTTTACAATTTCTGTATATAAAGCCATAAATCCTAAATGCTTTTGCCGTAATGTCTAGTACATGCTGTCTAAATGTGAATTTCTCATCAAAAATAATGCCAAGTTCTCTATTTCCGATTTCCGTACAAGTAAAATGTCGTTTAAAGTGTAATCATAGAACAATACATGAATCTTGCAACAAAAAAAAAACAATGAAACACTTGGAAACATTAAGACAAAGTCCGTTTTTTACGCACCAGATCATTATATTAGCTAAGTCTTGTTAAATAAATGCAGTCTCTGATGGAGGTGACGCTAGGATAAATATTTAAATCATCGGCGAAAAATTCTTTGTTGGATGCAATGACCTCAGTAATATCATGAATAAAAAGTAAAAAAAGAAGTGGCCCCAGATTTGACCCTTGAGGGACCCCAGAAGTTGGTACACATGCATCAGATAAGTGCTCCTTACATTTTACATATTGATTCCGATTAACAAGATATGACCCAAACAAAGAACATAATGCGTCATAAGTGGTCAATTTGATCAAATACTTTTTGGAAATCTGCATAGACAACGTCAACCTGACCTCGGTTAAGTTGAAGATCCTATGTGGGGACTTAGCAAAAACGTAAGCACAATCTTTAAGAATGAAGCTGAGAATATTATCGATGCTTTGAGTAAAACTATATTTTTATCTCTTTAGAGCAGTTGCAATCTCCTCTTCGGAAATCGATGGAATGGATATGTGTATTAGTATTGTAGTCTTAAACGAAAGATCAATATTAAAATTATCTACATCCGAATGAATAAAAACACTACTAAAAAATTATGCAAAGGCATTTACAATTGAAGAAGGGGTGGAAAATGCAATGCCGTTGTGTTTCATGAGTCCTGGTATCTGTAAGGAGCCTTTTCTCAGTTGAGTGTAAACTCAAAATTTGCGGGGATCGTTGATAAATGAGGTTTCAAGTTCAACAATATAGCGTTGGTAGGCTTTCTTGATTAGTACTTTGGAACGGGAGCGATAGTGTACAAATACGTTTTTAATAAGTATAAATATGTAGAGTTGAACTTTTTTCCTTTGTTGAACATTTTGGATTTCAGGCGTAAGCAGTTTATAATTTCACGATCAAACCAGGAAGGGTAGGAAGACAAATTACGTTTGTGGTGTTTCAAAGGGACAGATACAGAGAATATATCGTGTACTTTACGTATAGTTTGGAACATACATCATTGACATCATGAATGTTATCTAAGAATGACCAATCGGTTTCGAGAAGCATCCCATAAAGAAGTGAAAAATTAACTTTCTTAAAGTTGAACAGTTTCGAACTGGTGTTTAATAGAAATGAAACAATTTGAGCTTTATCAATCAAAAAATCAATTTCCAATGTCGGATGGAACGAATCTTCAGATAGAAGAGAAACATTAGATTTAGTTACTTAGCAATTAAAACTGCTAAATATTAAGTCTAAAAGATGATTATGATAATTAACTATTGTATTGAATGTAATTTTGAATTTCCTTAAAATGATTTATCGCATTCGAAAATTTATTGAAATTCCCAGCAGTAAATGAGGTATTGAAGTCACCAAGAAACAAAATTATCGTGGTGCGTAAAATCTAGTAAAACTACTACACCTCCTCTTGTCAAATTTGTTGACGTTAAATCTCTGCCTTTACGAAAAACAGAATAAACATTAGAAAATAATTCTTCATTACTAATGTCCGCAGTTAAGCCAAGATTCAGGTAAGCCGATCACATCATAATTTGAATTTTACAGCAATTACATGATCCTGGTTCACTAGTATTATGTGATGATAAACAATTATTGCATTTCCATGAAGCGCCACTTAAGGATTTTAAGACAACAAGCTGGGCTTTATCTATACCAACACACTTGATATGAGATTTTAAACCACTTTTGTGATAATTAACTTACTCAGTAGATACAATTAGTTTTTAATGAAAATAAAAATCTACTAGACGTAGATCTCTCCACTTCAAGTTTTCAAATTGCTGTTGATGACTGTGGGCCCGTTATTAATAAAAGATAAAGGATATTAAAACTTCCACTATTTAAGCATATTCTTATTGCGTAGGTTCGTGCATTCTAAACAAAAGAAAAGAATACGTATATTGAAACATAAAAAATTTGTAGATGTATTTGAGGGGACATTTTTCAATCAGTATACTGTATCTGGTAACCTTCTTGAAGCTTGAAGGTTGGTTCTTTAAGCTCTAAACTACTCAATAACTAGACTGACTGCACCGAATTGTTCAACTTACTCTGCTTCAAAGTTTCAAGGTCAGCCAATTGTAATAACGCAGAAACTTTTATATTAAACTTTCACAAGACCAACTATGACACTTTTCACTATTCGACTATATTGTTCGCGCAATAAACTCCCTCTCAAACAGATGTTATGCAGTTACCTTTACGTTTTTTTTGGCTAAGTATTTAAGAAATTATCAATCAACAGAAATATAATCCTCTTAATTTTTAATTAAGACTATACTTACTCATTTTTTCGAATTGTCACAATTATTGGATAATAGACGATATAATTATTATCATTTTTCCACTTTTAGTCTTCGAAAAACAATTTTATCTTTCTTATTTTTTTTTAGAATAATTCTATAATTAACTTGGCTGTACAATTAAATAATGACATTTTCTTTAAAGTCGTCGTTTTTTTTAAGAACTTGTTTGTTCTCGTTCTCTCTTTAGCGTGCTATATGTATTTAGAATGATTTGTTTGCCTTCAAAATGTACATCAAAATGGAAAAATTATAATACAGTAATACGAACCCATAAACACAGAAATAACAGCAAAAAACGTTATATACATCTATCGTTTAAAAGGAGATGAACGTATAAAGAAATTAATGAAAGCGAAGAGTATATCCAGACAGAACAGATTATTCTTGAGTGAAATGAAAGCCAAGAACCAAATAACGAATCCATTGCCAGCGAACGCACTGCATAGAATTCTTAAAATATTTAAACTTAACGAATACTTAAATTACTTTGGTATTTTGTGTAGTTGCAATTGTATGTGATTTTAATAATAATGAAAAAACTTTCAGAGTTTAAATAATATATTTGTAGTCACTGCTTTAGTTTCTCTTCTGCCTGAAGACGGTACTGTGTACCGAAACACGTGTAGCAGTGACTACAAATATATTATTTAAACTCTGAAAGTTTTTTCATTGTTATTAAAATTAATATGGAGTTTAAACACGTATCAGCCTCATCAATACAAACGTTGTATGTGATATTCTTAGTGAATCAAAGTCCAGGATGTTAAAAAAATATCGTTATCTTTCGACTGCCTTTGGACTCCGTTTTTTAAAGCCGTGCCAAATACATTTTAGAGATAATTACGGCGTTAATGATTTTTAAATAAAAATGCAATCAATACTCAGATGCGTAGATATGAGAAGACATTGATAAATGAATTTTCCCAATCAATACATTTTATGGTTAAACTTGCGACAGGAATACAACCGTTATGAGAATTATGAGTATGAGCAATGATACGGAAAGTTTTCCTAGTAAAATAAATTTTGATTCCAACAACAACAACGTTCGGAAGGGTTTTTATAAAGAAAACTGCAGTGGTGCAACCAACAAAGGGGGATGAGTATCACTACTTTTGAAGTAGTAGACCTAAATAGAGACCTAAAATAAGGTCGATATTTGTCGCCACCAAAATTCAGGTTAGATATAAATTTTTGCTGGAAATTTCTCACCTTAGAAAACGAATATAAGACAGATCTGGAGAATACTTATTATTACTGTTGTTGAACCTCCTTTAAATCTTTCACTTTGAGTAAATTTTCATATACTACAAAATATTATTAAAGCAATTATTAAGATATCTACAGTTCCAAGTTAAAAAAAGTATGAAATTTACTGGTTTATGCTAATAGCATTAAAAATATTTTTTGTTCTATACTTTAGTAAACATTTTCCTAAACATCTATCTTGCATGATCGATTTTATTATTCAGATAATCTCCAATTTCCGAACCGATTTGTGATTTTTAATGCACTTCAAGATTACCGTACACACGGTTAAATTCCGACTAGAATTTTCCTATGCATTCTCTACATAAAACTGATGACATTGCCCAGCTGTTGTGGCAATATTTTCTGAAGTTTATTTATTCATTGCTTTCAAAATGTTTATGAAATTATTTAAAAAAAATCCAATAATTTTCCGCTAAAAAAACGACTTTTACTTCAGTAACGTGATGTTATTTGCTGGAATTGTTTAAATAGGATGCTCAAAATAAATGACCGCGTGAAAGATTTATTTTATCGACTATCTCTGAAACGATTAACATAATTTCACTGGATTTTGAAAACATAATTTCGTTATGATTGGTTTTACGTTGTAAAAATTGTGCAGTTTGCCTGGCAAAATTTTTTCTATCATCAAATTTTCTATAGTACTTTATAATTAAAAAAAACATTCTTGAGTACCATTTTTCTAAAGCTTTCATTTAAGATTTACATATGATATTGCTATTTCTGTTTTAAAATAGAATGGGTTCATTTCAAGTTATTAAGTGTGGATAATCCTGAATGTGCAACTCCGGATTACCTATATGCGATATTTACATTTCTTTTTTGCAAAGAACAATCCATTGTCTGTCCTCCTATTCCGATAATAAAAAGTTAATTTTTTTAAATGCAGCATATATTTAATGTAATTATGTGAATAACCTTGGGAAAAACCTATTCCCAAGTTTTTCCGAATTGCCACCTCTCAACCAAACCAGATATAAATTCTTAGAAACAGAAGAACTCGAATTCACAGTCCCACTTTCCGAGTAAACCACGAACGAGGCAGCCGTCAGCCGTCTCAAAAAAGAAAAATGACCTTCACGAACTGTTGCTCTCTCCTCCTTGTAATTATATTCATCAACTCTATTTCAACTGGTAAGACCCTCGCAAGCGCTAATTTACCCAATTTACTCAATTACGACATTTCCCAACAAACCAGCCCCAACTTGTCCGGCCAACGAAGAACTCCGGGACTCCGGAATTAGCGAATCCTGTTACAACTGCAACTCCGGTCCCGGCGGATTCTGTGCCACAATTCACGAAAGAAAGTGCTACTGCAAAGACGGCTACATCAGGGACCCGTCTCGGAACGTTTGTACAACGCATTGTTAAACCGAAATATGGATGGCAGGCAACCAACAATGCAAGAAGTTAATAAAGCGACCGCCTGAAGCTCGTGTAGTTCTCATTTTGGCGCGATTGTAGTTTGTGTGTTAATTAGTTGCACCTTTTATAGCGAACAAACTTTGATTGAAATTTTGCCTCATAATTCGAAAACGCGCTGAATAAATAAATCGCTCGACGAGTGTTGGGAAATTAATTTTCAACACAGGGGTGGCGCTGGCGAGGTAATGAAGGTTTCAAAGGCGAAAAAATATTTTTGTGTTTTTTCTTTCAATCGTTGAATGTAAATTGAAATTTGTTTATTCATCTACGTCGGGGTGAGTTAAACGGAATTTATGTAAATTTTCTTGATTTTTAGCACTTGTAGGACTCGAGAGGTTTAAGGGGACTCGTTTTTTGCGAACTAAACTTTAGGCTTTCAGATTACGTTTGATTAGAGCGAATTAATAAAAAATGATGTAGCCCATCACAAAAATCGTTTTTTGTCCCTTTACCTTCCAGATTTTAAATTGATTTTCTCATTTCACAACAGAAAAGGATATTTGACAAAAAACTTAAATGTTATTTGTTAAATACAAAATTTGTAATTGATGATTGGTGTTTTAAAATTACCAAGTGTGTAACCGTTTTTTATGGTACTTATAAAATCTTTCTTATGTTTGACAATGACAAACGGTTCTACCACAAAAGAGTTTGTCTCGACTATTTCTTGTTACTGCATGTTCTGTAGTTCGCTGTTCGTAAAACTCCTCTTCGATAGTTGTTTTTCCATCGTTTTTGTCTGTGGTGTCCTTTTGTTTGGCATTCTTTTCATTTTTATTTTCTTTTCCTCGTTACGTTGAAGCTACGATAGCTTCTGCTTCCCGAGCGTAAGCTAACTATGGCTAATGGCTACTTTAATATTTTCTCGACGTTTCATGACCCTTCAGTACAAAAAAAGTAGTCTCCCGTTTTCATCTGTCTGTCTGTCTGTCTGGTGTCTGTATCCATTTGTATTAGACACGTAATCTTTGAAACTGCTGGACCGATTGTTGTCAATGTTGACCATATAGGAAATTATTATTATTATTATTATTATTATTAATGCATAGTGTCCACGGGTGGGGAACCCAATTACAGGACACAGAAACATTGTACAAATATTTTAAGCATAACTTCAACTTGGCTCTGTTTGGTAGTATCTTTTAATCTGACCTAAAGTGCAGTTAAATAGATCGACTTGATTCTCGATGTCCATATAATTAACAACCATTTGAACAAGTGGAGAATTTGCTCTACTGATAGTGCGTACAGTGGGCAAATAGAAAGAATTTTTACTACGCATGTTCCCTCTGTTGATCTTAAGTGATAAATTGCAAAGTATATCAGGACACTCTTGCAGTCCTTTGACAATTTTAAATAAAGTTATTACCGAGTGCTCTCTACGTCTATTTAGCAAAGATGGAATTTTGAATCTACCCAGAAGTAGATCCTGAGGATAACCTCTCAGAGGATAAACGCCATCGACTATGTAGGACACCGTCTTAAGAAAACGTCTTTGTATTCTTTCAAGGGAAGAAATGTGGATATTATATACAGGACTCCATATGACAGAGGCGTATTCAAGACAAGATCTACAGTAAGTGAAATAGAGTAATTTCAGTGTTTCAATATCACCAAACTCCCGACCATTCCGGATGACAAAGCCTAAGGATTTGAAAGCAGACTCAGTTATTGCCTGAATATGTTGACTGAATGAAAGTTTTGAGTCGAAGACTACCCCAAGATCGCGTATAACTTCAGGCCTAGTAAGAACGGTGTTATCAATGCTGTATCTGTAAATAATGGGTTTTTCTTTTTTGGTGAATGACATGGCATAGCATTTAGTTTTATTAATCATTAAATTGTTATTCAAACACCATCTGTAAACTCTGTCAAGACATTTTTGAAGCCGAAGAGAATCATGAAATGAATTGACTACAGTATAAATCTTCAAATCATCCGCAAAGAGAAGGGAATGCACATCTATGGCATCAACAATGTCATTAATATACATATTGAAAAGCAAGGGACCCAATACGGAGCCTTGTGGAACACCTGTCTCTTGTTTGAACAGTTCTGATTTAAATCCATTGATTTTAACAAATAAATATCGACTGTCTAAATAAGAATTTAACAATGAAATTAATGAGTCCGAAAACCCAAAACATTCCAACTTTTGCATTAGGAGGCGATGGTCAATTTTATCAAATGCCTTTGATAAATCAGTATAAATGACGTCCACTTGGCATTGGTTGTCTAATGAATCACTTAAAAATTGTGTTATCGAAAGAAGATTTGTCATAGTGGAGCGTCCTTTGGTAAAACCATGCTGAGTTGAGGAAATCATTTGCGATATATGATGGGACAAAATATTATGTAATACTGTTTCAAACACCTTGGCAAAATTAGAAATAATAGATATGGGCCTGTAAATAATTTTCAACATTTGATTTTTCTCCTTTTTTGTAAACAGGGCAAATTCTAGAGTACTTCCATTTATTAGGAAAAGTACATGTCTTTAAAATAAGGTTGAATATAATAGTTAATGGTATCGTGAACACATTTGCACAATCTTTCACTACAAAAGCTGGTATGTATTTGATCAGGTCCGTTAGTCATTTTGGGTTTTAAGTTCTTAATGGCGTTATATACATTCTCTTCACTGATGTGTTTTACGCTAAGAATATTTTTATTTAGACTCGTACACTTAAGATTAACAGGTGGATTTTTGTCAGTAACAGATTGGGCAAAGTGATTAGCAAATGCGTCAACAATATCCTTGGGATTGGAGAGGTTTGAATCTTTGTACGTCATATTCTGTGGAAAAAGGTCTGATTTTTTTTGGAGTTTATAAATGCCCAAAACCTCTTAGGGTCTAACTTAACACAGTAATTCATTCGTTGCAAATACAATTTATAGGCATCTTTTATTTTAGATTTCAACTGGGTTCTCAAAGTTTTAAATGTCAGATAGTCATCCGGAGATTTAGTTTTACTATACTTTTTCCAAGCAGATTTCTTTTGCTTCACTATTTTGATAATAGAGCCATTGAACCAATTGGGATAATTACCTACATGAGTTACTTTCCTTGGAACATGCATTTGGAAAATCTCATCTAAGATTTGATAGAACTTAGAAACGGCTTCCTCAACAGTGTTAAAAATATTAAGAACCGACCAGTCCACTAACAAAAGTTTCTCATAGAGAATATTAAAATTACATTTACTAAAATTATAATCAGAGGCCACCGAAATTGGAAATTTCTTACGGTAATACCTTGGCATTTTGATTTCAATTGCAAGAGCAGGATGGTGGCGGTCCTCAGGTAGAAGTGGATCATGTGCATGAGAAACAATACAGTGATTATCTTTACTAATAAGAAGAAGATCAAGAAGCCGATTGTTACTATTTAAAATATTATTGCATTATGAAATAAGGAAAAAAAATTAGCGACTTGTATTAATAAAAAAACGTTTTTCAGAGTTTCTGAAATTTATCGAGCAATGAATTGAAGCCAACGATTCCCTGTCGTGTCGGTTACATGTTTTTCCAATGTCAAGTCCACATGTATATATAGAAGATGAAAATCTATGTTATACCTACGTGTATTTTCCGTTTACACGCCTACTGTGTTGTTAACTGCAAAAACATCAAAATGTCTTCGAGGTTGAAAACTTACGTCAGAAGTATCAGAACTGCCGTGGATGCGTCACCTAAGACTTTTAAAGTTTTCTTTCGCTCTTCCTTTTTTCATTACAGTTCCTATTTCAGTCGCATTGGCGTCCCGAAGTGTTCTCATAAAACGGAATTGATAGGTAAACAAAAAAAGTTATAAATATTAATCACCCGCTACGAATCTACATGTTTTATTTATGATCAATTTTAAGCGCCCGTCATGTTTCAACCGTCGCAGGAAAATTCGCAAAGGCGAATAAAATGCATAAAATCGATCGACGATATCCGCAGCCTTTACATCCGTAACTAATTACAAGCGCGAGTCACTCAGTCACGCCCCCGATATATTAAAAGCACTTTTCTCGCTACGACTTTATCGTAATCGGAATAAAAATATCCAACAAGGTGAGTGTCAAGTACGAGTCAAGTTTACATTTCTCCTCTACAAAATAAACACGGAATTTTAGGAAATGGAAGCTAACGATGTACACTCCACGAGTAGATTTCTCAACGTCGCCATTGTGCTCATTGAAGACCTAATACTACCGATTCCATTCATCAATATTTTTTATCTACCTGTTTTAGCTTACATGAGGACTGTATTGTTTGGAACGTAATAATAAAGTTGTTTATTGACCCTCGGTGACGTCAAATCCAACTCTCATTATAACGACCAATTAAGCGTGTTTAACTCTTTGTACGGATGAATCGGAGGGTAATTTGAAGTTTTCCCCTTTGTATTTTCATCCCCTGAACCGCCAATTTTCTGCTCTTTATTGAACCGATGATTATGGGTTTTCATGGAGACAGTTACAACGTGATTGGCAATTATTTTTGGTATTGTTAAAACATTTACGCTCGACGAAGAGGAAACAAATGTAAATGTCAGAACAAGAAAAACTTTTCAAATCTAGATTTCCACGAACTCCATCGCGTGAAAAACAAAAGTTACTGGTCAATTGGCCGCGTCGAAATGAGAATAGACTCTGTCGTAATACGCTCGTTCTCGTCATGTAGTTTTATGTAAGATTTCTTTTAATTTCAATTCCGACGTGCAACTCGTCTTCAGATTTCAAGTAGCGATTTTTTTTTTTTTCGAGTAAATGTGCTTACTGTGACATAGTGAAATAAAATGAAACAGAACTATTTTTTTCTCAACGTAGGATACTTCTGGCTGTGAATGAGACAAGAGGTGGTAATAATAAAGGCCACTACTCACGGAATTTAAAGCACCTACTACTACATTTTCAACAGCTCTCAGCAGATTATCCACACCGACTCATAAATATTCATTATCCAAGTGTTCTTTTGTCTAATTAATTGTCTTAGAATATGAAGGATTGACATAGATT